TGCTGCTCACTGCTGGACTCTCCCCAAAATGTCTCTCCTTTCATGTTTCTATGGTGATTTGTAAATGTGTACACAACATATCCTACACAAGGAAAATCCTAATTATGACAAAACACATATCTTAAAGTGGAGATTAAAAATAGTGGATGTAAACCGAGAAGAACGGATATGTATATAACATAAGGCATACTAGATGGAAGAATAAAAATGAAGTCCTTTGTAATAACACACATTTCCTTTAGTCAGTCTTTAATTATGTCCCCTCCAAAAACATCTTCCTTTCTTCCATCCTTCCTTCCTTCCATCCTTCCTTCCTTCCTTCCCTCCTTGATTCTTTCCTTCTTTCATTTACTTATTTCATTTGTACACTCCATCCCTCCTTCCTATCTCCCCTTGCTTCCTATCCTCATTGCTACTTTCTTTCCTCCCTACCCATCCTTTCTCCATACCTTCCTTTTTCTTTTCCTACTTCCCTTTTCGCCCACCTTTCTGTACCCTATCTTCTGATGGTCTTCTCTCCCTCCTTTCTTCCTGTAATCAACTCCTTGCTCATCATCTTCCTTCTCTTACTCCCCCCATCATCCTTTCCCCCCATTTCCCCTTCTCCACTTTCTCATTTCTTCCCCAATCTCTCTTCTCCTAAATCCCCCTTCACAAGCATCCCTCTCTCCTTCTCTACTTTCTCTCCTCCTCCACTTTTCCTCACTCCTTCTTCACCACATCATTACCTCTGACTGTTTGTTCCTGAGCACCTACGCTCCATTCATCTGTAATTCTTCACATCGCCCCGGCTCCTGGATTCTCCCCCCACACACACACACAGAGTTCGTTAGCGGCTGATGCGATCTGGGAATTGTGGTTATATTCTCTAGGCTTCAACTACAAAAAGAACATCATCCCAGCCCATTTGTTGTCAGCTATCTCAGCAGACACAGGCCTGCTTCAGTGTGTGTGTGTGTGTGTGTGTGTGTGCACTGACCCATCTCAACAGTTCTTATCCTTCAAACCCACATTTTCTTCAGGCGTCCGTCTTTCTGTAGTTTTAAAGCCACCGCTCAAGATAACATCTAGTAAAGAGCATTAACATGAATAATATATAAACATGACTAAAACTGGACAAGAGTTTATTTCTTAAATTAGTTTGCGGATATTGTTTTGATCCATCCAAAATCCAGCATATTGCAAAGTGAACATGGTTTCCTTCATGTAGAAGAGATTGAGGTCAAGTCGAATTGGAACGAGAAGGAGACAAACTATTTGCTAAGATGATTAATTATACATCGATGGTACATTTTTAAATGCTCAAATAGTAACAAAGATATGAAGATTAATCAGCATAGAATGTATTTTACAGTACCGTACGTCCCTGAGCAGAAATGCTCACCAGCAGGTATAGTCTGTCTTGAATATTGAAAGTACCACTTTTTTCCTGCTTATGTAATTACAATACAAATAAATTGAATATATAGACATGCTGACTGCTTTGTTGACTATACCCTCTATATAGAAATACAGGAACAACAAATGCTCACTCCCAACTCATCAAATACCGCTAATGTCCATTGGCCCTCAGCTTCAAACTAGCTTTTGGACTTGTCAGGGACTGCCAGTTTCCCCTCTTTACTTCGTGTCTTTTCAAAATAAACTACTTTCTTCACAGGAAGTTTATGTTCAGGCAACAAAACGTCAAGAGAGCGTGGTGTGTCTCATACAGAAGCTAAAGGGGGCCTCTGTGCGTCGGCATCAGACGCCGAGGAGCACTGACCAGGTGCCATTATGGAGCTATATTAAGTTAGGATTGAGAAAGTGTCGACATATTTGACAGCTTGCCCATAAAAGTCTCTAATTTGGTAATTTGTGTTGATAAAACCAAATTGAATACATCAGAAAAGGCACGTCGATTTCCATTAATAATTTATTGTGTTGAGGCATTGATCAGTCTGAGACAGCGAGCTGCAGGCATAAAGAGGCAAAGGTGGATTTTCAAAACAAAGGTTTAATTTACCCAAAAATCAAAAAAGATTTTCAAAACATTCAGCAAAGTTCTGTATGAAATGAACACAATTGAAGCTATGTTGATTTAACATAATCTGAACACGACGTAACAACACAAAGACAAACACCACCACAATAAAACAGGACAATAAGTCTATCACTATATTTTTATGTTAACCAAAATGAAAGCAACAACACATAAATATAGTCTAAAGCGACGAACTGAAGTACAGTAGTTAAAATGTGAACAATTCAAATAAACCAACCACATCCATAGAGCCCTGCAGTAAGTCTGTATGTTTTAGTCAAGAGAACGTCAAGCAGCATGAATTAAGCGAAGGTAAAGCCCACAGGGTGAGACAGTTATCTGAGTCCTGCAGGTACTCAGCTCTGTCTCCTCGGTTCTGAGTGGAGGATGGATTTGTGTGTTTTGACTCAGCAGCTCTGAGCATCTGACTGCCTCTCATGTTCAGCCTTGACATTTCCAGCGCTAAGACCGGTGCTTATTTACACGAGCCAAGCGCAAATCACCTCTGTCTTGTTCACAGGGATGTGACTTTCCGACGCGCTGACGTCTCTCAACGTGTCCGACGTCTGCTGGTGACGTCTTCGTGGTTGGACTCCGCAGAGGGGAGGGAGTCACGGCTCTCCTTCCTCCCTCTTCCTGCATTTTAACAGCAGGCCAACTTATAAAACGTTGTACGTTCTGCTGCAGTTTTTCATGTATTGCATTGAGTTGTAGCTGTAAGATTCATGTTTTGCCTAAAAAGGCAAGTCTGGCTTCCTCCACAAGCACACACACACACACCGTTCTTATGACTTGAATGTAAGTTATCTCAATGGAAGTATTGAATGTATCATGGTCCTTGGTCAGGTCATACCAGAAAGCATCACCATATTTTGAAGAAGTCTTCTGATCAGACTTTCATGTGTGTGTTTGCACATAAACGTTCTTCTTCGTGTGATTCGTTTGCCTAAGCCCTCACATGTGCACACGAGAGCATTTGCACGCACGCCGCCACGTACCTGACGCCATTATTTCTTGAAGGGCTCTTGATCGGCCGGGTTCACCTGAGGCGAGGGGTGTTTTACCATATCAAATATTTGTAACGTGTGACTCATGCCTGAGTGAGCGAATCCACTCTGACAACGCTGAATCTGCTCTGCGGCGTCTCTGCTCGAGCGATGAGGTCACTCCTCACTCTCTTCCTGCCTGACAGCGACTTTCTTTTTTGCTCCTTATCTGTTCGCTTCTGATCTTGTCTGCTGACTTCATTTTGTTCTCGGCTGTTCTCTTATCGGCTCCGCTGCTCTCTTTCTCGGCCTCATAAACAGCGTTTTAAAAGTCACCGAACCTCCTTCAGCATCTCGTTTTCAATGTCAGCTATTCGTAATAACACGAGAATTATTCTAACCATGCACATCTCTATAAACAGGCAAATGTTATTAAAAAAGAAGAAGGTTGACGACCATCCTCCTGCAGGCTTTATATATCTGCTTTACATATTCACTGTGAATTTGTACTCAGAAATTTTTATTTCGGTGCAAAGAGGAGAGTTGATGCTAATTTGTTAATGAATTGCAAACACAGCCCTACAACCACAAGCATGTCTGTTCCACAGCAGAAGGTTTGCTTCTTTACAGAACAGCATCACGTAGGTTATGACCTAAAGCACCGGAGCTCCTGGAGCTGCTCTGACTCTTCTCCCACAGCTGAAGTCAGTCGATTATTAACCTGGTGTTTGTTGTAGCCCAGGTTGAAGCACAATGTTTTCTTTTTCTTTGTTTTAAGCTCTGTAGAGTTACATCCAGGACATAGAGTCCAGTGCAATAGTGCAACTGCAGTTAAATGATGTTAACCCGTTCTCATTACCAGAGCGTCAAATACAGCTGCCTTGTCATGCCCATCATCATCTAATACTGACACACAATCCACCCTTCAGAGTCCGTTTGAGACGCACCGGGCTTTCAAGTAACTCATATTGACGCTGTTGGCTTTAGATTGAAGACGCTCAGAGAAAAAGCTCCGGGAGTTTGATGACATAGTTTAAAGACCCAAGAAGTGGAGGTGAATGGGTCGAACAAACTCAAGACTTTCAACCAGGACAAATCATAGAATCATGGTGGCAAAAGAAGCACTTCTGTAGTTTGTGTTTTATGATTCCTTCATCATAAGACTGAACAACAGTAAACCGTATTATCTTTAGCACAATCCATGAAACTCAAACTGTTTTGTGTCTGTTTGCAGTGCAGAACATGTGTATCCTATTAATGCACATTAGGCCCGCAGCATGTTTTATTGAACTTTATTAACATGGTTCAACCTCAGCTTTAATTATTGGTTTGTACTTTGGCTGCATGTGGTCTCGCTGTTGATATAATTGTGTGCAGTCCAGACAGAAAATTGTTTGACTGGACAGAAATGTCAGATCATAACGTACAAAAACAGCAAAGCAGCATTCAGGGGCCGATGATGATGTTTCACGCTTGCTTCACTTCCAGAGAACACAGCGTGGTGAATGTGACCTCCATTTTGACTGGATGGATGAGGCTCTGTGTGTGTGTGTGTGTGTGTGTGTGTGTGTGTGTGCGTGTGTGTGTGTGTGCGTGTCAGAGAGAGAGAGATTCTCTGTGTCAACAGCTGAAATGATGCTTTCGTCTTTCATCTCGTCTCCTGTCCGATATCACATACATATTTAACAGCCGGAGTCAGTGAAAGTCAAGAAAGATAAAAATCAGAGGCTCCTCACTCATCGTTTTCGTACCTCCCTGATCTGCTTGTGCATATCTTTGTCCTCTCCTCACCTCTTCTTTCTGACGTCTTGACATGTTTTTTTGTTTGTTTTTAATTCATTCACCTCTCTTACCCTTGGATAAATGAACTGAACACTTTCCTCCTCTCTAGCTGCTCACTATGTTTGTTCCATTTAAATCATACACATGTATGAATACATGCAGGCTGAGCCATCGTCTGATCAGCACCACCGGACGCTTTGTCTCCACAGATGAGTTCGTTCAGCACGAGGGCTCTGACGCTGCTCTCGTCGGTTTTCGGGGCCTGCGGTTTGCTGTTGGTGGGCGTCGCCGTGTCAACAGACTACTGGCTGCTGATGGAGGAGGGAATCGTCCTGCAGCAGAACCAGACCACCGAGGTCAAGATGGCGCTGCACTCCGGCCTCTGGAGGGTCTGCTTCGTGGCCGGTTGGTAACAATGTCATGTCACTAACTGCTGATTATGTTGGTTTGATCTGTAAGGTACTGATGCTGATTTAATGCCATTACTTGTTGTAGTTGCAGAAACAATTTATAGTTTATTTTGTTCTGTTCTTTTGAATTTCAAAGAGGAAAACCTGTCAAACGTGTGTGGGTAAATTGTCGACCAGAGGATGGGCGGGTGACATGAATTATATTAGTGTGAGAGTACAGGATGAGTTCTGACTGGACTAATACTGCACCAGAGTTTGACAGGAACCAATCAGACCACGTAGTGCAGGAAGACTCAGTGGGTCATATCACACCACTGATTTTCAACAGTACACACTTAAAATTCATTAAGCCGCCTCCTTGAACGCAGACTGGCCAATCATAGCGTAGCATTAGCCAGCTAAGATCAGGGTTCTCTCAAGGAATACAAACGAGAATAGCGAGTCAACAAATTAGTGTGTCACCTCTGGTCGAATTTGACCTCAAGAGATTAAAAAAAAGAAAAACAGAAAAGGAAAGTGTATATTCATGCTGTTAAACACACACGCAGACACACACGGCAGCAGGGTGGACACCACAGATACAAATAACTCTCCTTATTGCAGTAGCTGTCTCTGTGTTTCGGGTCACGACGGTGTTGCTCTGGGGAGGCGGCCATGTTTGTGTTTCCCTGTTGTCTGACGCCTGGTACAAAAGGTCAGAGGAGGAAAACGCTGGTGGCATTTGGAACGGATGTGTGTGTGTGTGTGTGTGTGTGTGTGTGTGTGTGTGTGTGTGTGCGTGTGTGTGCGTGTGTGTCCTCTCTCTCTCTGCCTACAGTTTGAGGTTAATTGTTGTGTCTGTATTCAGCTCTTCTCTCTCTCAGCTCAAAACTTGTTTTCTCCTGAAATCTCCTGACCTCCATCCGTCTCTTCCTCTAATTCACCTTTTCCTCTCAGTTCCATTCTCTGCCTCCCTGTTTCTCCCTCTTCATAATCTCTTTTGGGGTCTCTCTATCATCTCTCACCTCTTTCCTATTCACCCTTTCAAAATCTGTTTTTGTTTGTCTCCGCCTACGCTCAGCCCCGTCTGCCCTTTCTCTGTGTTTTTTTTTAACTTCTGTTTTTGGTTTGTTTTGTTTATTCTGGTTTTATTTCCATACGCAAATATTCCCATATTGTTCGTGACCCAAAGAAGACCCTAACCCTCCCACTCATCTCTCTGCTTTCCTGTCTGTATTCTTTCTTTCTCAATCCGTTCCCTGTTTCCTCTCTCTCTGTTTCAGGACCAGAGAAGGGCAGATGCGTGGCGTCGGAGTATTTCACCGAGCCAGAGATAGAGATCACGACAGAAAACACAGCCAACATACTCAGTGAGTCACGTCCACACATACACACGAGGGATAGATCAAATCCAATTAAAATGAAAAATTGCGCTTAGAGAAACAAAACAAAAATGCAGTTTGTTGAAAATGTTATCAAAGTAGGTCCATCTAAGATGCTCCAATAGTGTAACATTAAATAAAAAGTTAAAATATTACAACACTACCAAGTACACAAACTAAAGGTCATAAGAGACATGTGCATGCATCAACTACCCTTTAACACCGTTTTTATCTTTAGTTCTTAATTAAATAAGATAATGAGACAGAACGAAGGAAACTACACCTTGTGGATTATCTGTCAGGAAACTTAATGTGTGAGGTAAAGTTAACGTATATATAGAGTTGCTACCCAGTGAAAACAAATCTCCAAATGCTGCGTCCAAAGTTTCATGATAAGTTGACGTTTCCCAGTGTACACTGAATATATTTCACTTTTTTTGGTCAAAGAGTAAATGAATGTCGAGAGCTCGCTGAAGTTCCCCACGGAGCAGTTTTGTCTCTGAGCTGTTTTAATGATTTAAGATGTTGACACTGTGGACTGGCCGCAGTCTGTCTCTTTGAAGTGAAGCACACAGTGTTGTTGGAGACACCAGGGGGAAGACATTTGGTCCGTTTAATGCGAGATAAATGTCCTCATAGACGCACAAGTCATAACACTGTAGTAGCACTGTGGGAGAAGTTGTTGAATAAATCATGCGCTGCCTTGCTCAATATAACCCTGAGTGAGCTGCGGTAGACCTAAGGTTAGAAGGCTGCAGTGGACATCTATACATATGTGAGTATTTTGGAACATATTGTGAGAAAAAAGACAATCCCGTCACCAGAAAAGAGATTATTTTGTTATTCTATCTATAGATTTTCTATCATTTTCATGTCATTGTTGATGACATGATTTGATAAGCAAATAATTATCCAAATTATTCTTGCAACACAAAACATGCTGTAATGTTCATGGCAAGAACTAAATATTCTTTTATGTTATGCATCACAATGTGAAGTACAAACCAACATGTTTGCAGTTAATGTGTCCGACTTTATAGCTGCACTGATGAATATATTCATATTGACAATTGATCAAATGAATATGTGTAATCATGTGAAAAGCTTGTCGTGATAAACCCACGGAGAATTATCACCCGACCCTTCAGTTCTACGGAGCGTTTTAGGGTCTTTCAGCTTCTTGTTTTGGTTTGGCCTCTCGTCAACGTTGTTTGAGAAAAAAAACATTTAGTAGTTGGTTGACACCAAAAGAAAGCTGTAAGAGAAGTTAATATTGAACTTAATTTCATAATTAGAAATGAGATATTAGTGATTAGGAATAGTTCTATAAATGCTCCACTATGCTGGATGTGAGAACAGGCAGCTATTTGCTAACACAGTGGATGATATGATCAATGTTGTGTTGCTTGTTTAACTGCCCAAAGCAAGAGTAGTAGAGTAGGAACCAATCAAACGTACTTAGAAATTAAAAAGGTTGAAATGTCCAATGTTGGACTTACCAGCTAATGATCTTAGCAGCTGTGAGCGATGAGTTCCTGTTCTGTACATACTAGTGGTTTTGATCATTGATGAAGGCAAATCATTTTAAACCTAGAAACATTGGAAATACACAAATTAGCCATGTTGATGCCTTTTAAAAAAAATTAAAATAAAAAAAAACGTCCACTTGTCCAAAGTGAAGCTAGAGGGGAACTTAGAGCATAAAAGTTTGAGGCGTAGAGCCACTGATCAAGCATTTGTATTTGAGAAGATGTGTTGGTCACTAAATCAGGCAAATGTAATGTCATAGTTTTTATGTTTGCTGCATTTTAGACTTAAATGAACAAAGTTGACTGAAGGAGGAAAATATTGCGGTTGAATTGGATTTTGGCACCAGCATCGTGCCACTCCTTTCTGAAGTCATTCCCCTTGGTCTTGTTCTTTAATCATGTCCATGTCCCTCTCTTACCCTCTCCCGCATTCCTCCCTGTCCTCCAGAAATGGTCCGAACTGCCACTCCCTTCCCAATGGTCTCCCTGCTCTTCGTCTTCACCGCCTTCATCATCAGCAACATAGGACACATCCGGCCGCAGCGCACCATCCTCGCCTTCGTCTCCGGAATATTCTTCATACTGTCAGGTACCATGCGCACAGAGTCTGAAATCATAAGAGACCTCCGCCCCTGCACGGCGAGTCTTCTTCCTGCAGTGGAATTGTTCTCAGCTCATACAGAACTTGTTTTGTTGCACAAAAAACAAGGTTTGCAAACAATCAAAAACTCGAATACATTTTACTCTCTTGAAGAACAAATAGCAACTCCAGGCCTTTCTTGTCAAGGTTTGTTTCCGTATTTTCCAATTATTGCGCTGTGTGTTGCAGCGACTGAAAAAGCAGCCCGGGAGACAAACCTCAGTACACAGCGGTCGGAGAATCTGAGGGTTGGAGCTCTCCAGAGAACAAACACAGTTTCTAGGAATACGACTTGCTCAGTGAAGTTATGCCAAAAGTAAAACCAAATAAACTCCATCCAACTAATGGGACTGATGCACCGCCTGTGAGGAATATGTTTTGGGCCGTTCTGAAAGGTTTACGATCAAGTGACTAAACCCGACCGTGAACTCTCCTCGGCTGCTCTCTTGCCTTGCTTTAGATTTCAGGCTTTGGCACGATGATGATGATGAAGACTTACAGATAATAAGGCTTTAGGAGTAGCGTTGTATCAGATTAAAGAATAGCTGAGGTTTCGGTTTCTGGAATTACTTTTTGACCGCCCTGTCCCCAACATGTTTGTTTCCTTGTTGCAAAGGTTTTTTCTTTTACATTCTGCAGCAACTCAAACAAACAGTTTGAAGCACTTCAGCTTTTGTCCTTGAAGAACAATGAACATGTATTTGTTCAGGTACAAACATCAGTGCTGCACATGTTATATTTCCACATTATACACTGTGTGCAAAGATTTCGCAGCACCTTGCAAAGATTCAAACAGCTACAGTAGCTAATCCTACTGTAATAAAATGAAATGTAATTTAATTGGTGCAAAGTGCAAAGAACAAGTTGTATAGTATGAACACTGACCAGGCAGTGACTGTAGATGAAATAAGAACCGTTAGAAGCATAGACTGTATGGAAGAAGAGTTCAGCATTTTGGCAGTCGCCATCTTGTTTTTTTTCCTTAAGTGGAAGACAGGGACCACTCTTAGACCGGACAATGCCATGGTAGCCACCTGTCAATCACCGTGTAGCCCCACCCTAAAGCATAATCTGCTTTATGGTCTATCTGACTCTAAATCGACCATAATTTACTAAATGAACATCATGCTGTATTGAAGAAGACTTGAAACTAGAGATTGAGAACATAAACTCATGTTCACAACGTTTACTGAAGCTGAAGACATTCAATTGAAGTTGAGGAGGTAGAGCGGGTCGTCCACTAATCAGAAGAACAAGCGGCTCGATCCCTGGCTCTTCTGGATGGGCATTTTGCACTCCGCATCAGTGTAAAGGGCAAGATACTGAACCCCAAGCTGCTCCCGAAGGCTCTGCCTGTGTGTGTAAATGAGCATTTAGATTAGATCCTGACCGCAGGTTGGTGCACCTTGTATGGCAGCTTCGGCCATCAGTGTATGAACGTGTGTGTGAATGTATGAATGCAGGTCTATTTACTATTAACCATCCTTTCTTGATTTAAAAGCAATATGTTTTCTCCAAAACATCAATCAACTTGATGTATGGATATATTTTGCAGGAGACAGCTATTGCTGCAGGAGCTTTGAGAAAGCCACAGGAGCTCTGGTTCATCAGGATGGTAGAAACCGGCTAAAAGGCCGAGGTATTGTATAAGACCTGTGTGAAAGTGTCAAACTCCTCCTTCACCTGTCTGCTTAAATAAGAAGAGTAAAAGCAGCAGAGCAGAAGAAGAGAAGCAAGCTTGTTAAAAGTCAACATTCTTCAAGGTTAATGATAATAAGAAGAGGGAAGACTCACTCTGCAGCTCTGGTTTCCTTTTCCCAGCTGACAGCTTGTCAGACCTTACCTTGTTCTTGCTGCTGGCTCAACAGTGAACGGGATTTAATTCCACATAATTGCTCTCTGCCGAGGAAGCTGCAGGGCAGCAGTGATTTGATGTTTCGCTGCAGGCTTTTGGTAAAAAGAAGTTAAAACTTTAAGCAGTCTGGAAGGAGACTTTGTTGTAGTTTGACATTTCAATCAGAAAGTTGGTAATGAGGAAGATTTGGTCTTCTTCGGGACGACACCTTTGTGGTCTGAACCAAACATGTCACATTATCTCACTGCGGACACCAACCTTCAGTGCAGTCCATCTCCATTCCAGTCACGTAGCTGAGCGCCTTTAAGTGCTGAGTGGAAAGTTACGGGATGAAATGTTTGATCGCACTAATTACTTTTGTGGACCCACATGGTAGTCCAAATAAAAAAAGACAGACTCATCTTCCAGTGTATTAAATTAAATCTACTTGCATAGTAAGGCCATTTGTGCGTTGACACTCCTGTCACGCCTTTCATGTCTTTTGGTTGGTTGGTTGGCTCCAATGGAGGGTCTGAAGGTAGACCCATTCCTGTTTCAACATGCTCCCTTACGTAGAGCCAGCTCCGTAAAGAAATGCTCCTCCCAGGTTGGCGTGGAATAACGAACCTCCAGTGCTGAGAAATTAAGAAGTGAACGCAAAAGTGCCATCAGCTGCAGTTCCTCAAATGGCCACTTGAGACCGGCTCGAAAAGCGAGTCGATCCCCATAGACCCTCATGGTAAAATGCACAGCTTTAAAGCAGCGATAAACAGATGTACAGCCTGATACATCATAGGGTTTTTCGTCATGACAACTGTCATGATGAAAAGTTCACGACAACCGGGGTGAACTTTTATATAAATCACCCGTTTAAATTATAAGGCTTAAGGTCAGACAAGATTGACAGGTCGCTAGCTGCTTGCTGTCTCCTCTGTCACCCGGCTCCACCACTCTGTCCATTTTTAGATTTAGGCTGTCTCGTCACTGCCAAGATGGCGACGGCCGGAGACACTTCATAATGGCTCTTCAGAAACCTTTGGGTTACGTCACAGGGATACAGTCTACTGCAGTGGTTCTCAACTGGTCTGGCTGCGGGACCCACCATCACCCCTTAATGGCAAGCCGCAACCCACGACCATCTATATTCAAGAAGTCTAGTAGTAGTAACGTCTCTGTGTAGTAAACAACTGCCAAATCAAATAAAGTACACATTAATTATATTTTAACTAATATTATTCAAATTTAACTGGATGGATTATAAATAATACATTGAAATGCATAAATAAATGTTCTTCTCATTTCAAGTAAAATAACGGCTGGATTAAAAATGTAATTACATAACAGAATTTATTTTAGAAAAATTATTTTCACTGAATTGCCCTGCAGCTTTAAATTCAGTTCATTCAGTGTGAAGTGACAAAGCCACAATATTATATTTTTCTCATCTTCTAAAAAGAGAAATTAGTGTTGGAAGAATTCACCTCTATGAGTCTGTCCAGTCAGAGTCGAATGACTCTGGTCTCTCTGGACATTCTTCTCTTTTGGAAATCGTTCTATGATTTTGACTTTTACAACTAATGTTACAATAGTCCTGCTCTGCTGTTTATATCCTCGTCTCTCCCCCATGTGTCACGGTGTTTGTACATCTCACTGAGTCAGGAAACGTGTCAGAATACCCATATTTGATTGGCTGAGCTGCATCACGTGATGTGATTCACAACGCATTGGTCGGTGTGTTTCCTGCACCGCTGAACAAGTGCCGTAAATGCTGGAATAATTCCGCTGCATAAAAAATGCCCTTCAAAATAAAATCACTTTTTTTTTTTTGTCAGGCAAAGGCCCGCGACCCACTGAAAACGGGTCCGCGACCCACTGGTCTACTGTATGCACAGAGCCCTGACCTCAACCCTCAACACCTTTGGGATGAAGTGGGAGTGTGATCGAGGTCTTAGTGTGTAACATCAGTGTTGGACCTCACTGAAACTTCAGGGTAAAACAAATTGTTGGACTGACCAACAACTCTCACTCCCAACTGGCCCTGTGTTACATGAATTCAAGTTCACCACAGCCACCTCTCGAGCCCACAGGGGGGTGAGTGCTTGATAGATTTTAGGTGGACTATCACATTCTCTATCACTCTCAGAACTGGTCCCCCACAGGGCTCCATCAGTTTACTAAAGGTTTGGAATCACGTGACAGGGGACAAAGGAAACTTTGTCTCACAGAGCAAAGTCTTACACCTGTAATCCATCTTCGTGTTTCATTGAGGATTAACATTTAACAACACAAAAGTCCTCTCCGTCACGTTGCGTTCTGTCTCATTTGCACCATGAGTCCTGTTGGGAAGGGGAGTCACTGGAGCTAACGGGGTGACATCACGTCCTCGTGTCGCTGCGGGACAGCTGGGTGACGTTTCTGGTCGGCTACCTCGAGTGCAGGGTCAAGCGTTTCAGCTGATGAAAGGGGTTGTTGGGATTTTTTTGGACCTTGTTAGTCTCTCTCTCTCTCTCTCTCTCTCTCTCTCTCTCTCTCTCTGAGCAGACAGGATGACATCACCTTCCTGTTTCAGCCTTTTTCTTTTTTGCATGAGTGAGCTTTACCTCACAGATGCTAGCTTAGCATGGTGGACTGCTGACTGGACACTTGGACAGACGTGACAACCATGATGTCATGGGAATGTCACCGAGCCAAGACGGAGAAAAACTGACGTATGCTTATACAGAGATAAACTCAAAGACATCAGGTCAATGTATGTGTGCCGGTAAAACACCCAAAAAACCTGAAAAAGCACTTTCTAATTTAGAAATGTTAAAGTTATGTATTTTAATTTATATATTATATTGGTGTAATATGAAATATATTATCTATTTCATTTAATGTAAATTCACATTTTCAGATTTGTACAATTCAATATCAATTTATATATAGACATAGTCTATGTGTTTTTTGGACATTTCAAATTTCATGTGTTTTCACATTTGTATTGTATTTATATTAAAATATCCTATTTATTTATTTGATTGTATTTATTTATTTAAGAGGGGCAATGGCTAGTCATTGACTGTCCCACAGTTAGCTAATAGCTAGTTTCATTAGCCGTCCCTGGGCAGGCAAATACACAAAAGCATTTTGGCATCAAATGACAAAAAAATATGTTATTGTGACAAAAGTTACAAGTTGACACGGTAATAAATACATGTTAATAAAATAAAAACAGCTTCGGCAACAGCACCGTACAAAGTCGTGAAAACATAATTCTCAGTTTTGGAGAAAAGATTATGTGCGAAAACAGAATCAGAAAAGTAATTTGATTTTGTTCTTGTAATTGCTGAGCACCCTCTGTGAGGAACGAAAAACACGTCTCTGTCAGAATCAGTTATTTCTGTGTGATGGTTCACAGCACAAAGAAGGAATTGAGCCCAGAAATCGATCGTTGCCATTTTCACCTCAGAAGCAGTGAAATGACAGTGATTTCTATTCCATGCTTGTTGTTTACCATAAAAGAGATTTATTTTTCCAAAGGCAGCGCTGCAATTATGTAACAGGGGAGGGGAGTCACAGAAAAACACAGAAATCAGTGCTATTTCAGAATGATTTTGCAGCAAAAAACTTGTTTGTCTCAGTCAGCATGTCTGTGTTTTTGTCATGAGAACTGCCCGTCAGTCACAACGCACCCTCAGGTTACAACATGGTGGCTGTGGACCAGCTGTTTCCTCCCATTTCTCCTGTCTGTCCCTCCTCCAGCTATTTCTCTCCTACAACTCTCTTTTTTCCCCTCTCTGCCTCTCTGAATGTATGTCTGTGCGTGTGCGTGTGCGTGCGTGTGTGTGTGTGTGTGTGTGCGCACGTTCACACTCATGTGGAGTCCAAGCAAGAGAGTGGAGATGAGCATTAAGACACAACGCTGCCATCTGATGGCCAAAAAAGAGAATTACAATTCAGTCTCATGTCTCTGTCCTTTTTTCACAATTTTTGATAAAACATAAGATGAGAGAAAGCCACATGTTTCCAGATCTCTTTCTGCACTGCACCAGAGATCACCTGTCAAGCAAACAGGATGCGCAGATCACTACTTTATCTTGTCATTTCCATTAACATTCCTTTCATTGTCCGGTAATCTGTCAAATGGTCAAAACCGTTGTTGTTTATTATTAAATTAATTATTAATTTTTTATTTTAATTATTATTAAATTAATTGGGACAGTAGTTTTTTGTCCTTAATCCTGCTGTCAAATACACAAACAAACCAACAAATCGAACAAAAAAACACCTGCGGAGATAATTATGTAAAGTGCACAGTGAAGTGTCTAAAACTTAAGACAAAAGGCATTCAAATTCTCATGTTGTGCCAAATATTGGTTTCTTGTGGAGAGGCGGGGAGCTGTCCTACTTCTTCTTTCTTTGTTACTCGCAGAATCTTAAATGGAAATACTTCCTGTGCAGAGGACTATATTTGTTCCAGGGAATCCGAAAGCTTTTTTAGTAATCTGCTGAATCACTTCAGTGTTTTCCAGCGTGTCATGCTGTCTGCATAAGAAGCAGTAAAACAGAAATGTGTGTCCATATTAAAATGTCACAGGATGTAAATGTAAGCGTGGCCTCATTGGTTCCTCTGCCTGGTTTCACCGACGCGTCTCAACAAACAAGACATGTTTACATCACTTACATCCAACCAAACTCCTGCATGTCTCCTCGAGGTTTATGCGTCTCCTGCTTTGTTTGATTCCATTTCACACAGCTGCGACTCCAAAACAGTCTCACTATTGAACAGGTATTTCCAATCAGGCCCAGATGGTTCTCTAATCTGTTTCCAGATAAATGACAGCATTTCTGTTTAAAAAATGCTCCTAGAACCCGTTACGTTCAGAACGCAGCAGCTGGGCTTCTCTCTGGTTTTAACTACGGCATCACTTCACCCCAACCCTGGCTTCTCTCAGATAACAAAATATAATTCAAAGTATTCCTTTAAAAGCCGCACACAAGCAGTACGAGCTGACCGTTCACTGCTGTTGTGTTAACATGTTGTATCTCTGCAGCTCCGACATGTAGCTACATTCTTTAGGAGGAGCACATCCGCTCTGCAGAGCCGCAGAGCCTCTGCGACAGCCAGACTCAAAAGCCTAAATCCGGCTTAACATATTTTCAAATGTTGGCTAGTGTTTGATTATTTAATTCCTGTTCAACGTAGAGTTGCATGTTAACCTATCAGTGATATGTTTTCAGGGGGAAAGAGCTGTGAGGTGGCTTTAAATGCGAAGCATCTTTGCTGTGTTTAGTGTGTCAGAGTTTCACTGCTGGAGGAATTTTGGAGGTCAGCTGCAGCGGTTAGTCACTCGACAGGGGAGGAAGCACTGACACACTCCTAATGAGGGTTCAGTGTGTGTGTGTGTGTGTGTGTGTGTATGACTGTCCTCGTTTATCTGTGTACCACAGCACAGCCTGTTGTTGGGGCTTTCTCAGCCTATTTACAGTACAACGAGGACACGTTATCATTATAGCTATTCCAGCAAAACAGCGCGCACAAGCACACACACACACACACACACACACACACACACAAATACAAAGAGACTAAAGGCCCATTCAAATGGGATTAGTATTACAGGGTAACAAGGGTAATGCAACATTAGCCTTGTACCTCCCGGTTTCCTAGTTATTCATAGTTTCTTAGAGCTGGAAAAGCATTCGTGAGGATGGAACAACGAAAATAATTGGATGTCACAACCTCTTCCTCCTCGATCAGCTGAACTGGCTTCTCCAGTGGTGAAACTGTCTGCTGTTAGAAGGCTCTCATGGAAAACTACTTCTTTAACCACTTCCATGCACAGTATTTTCCAAACACATGTATGTTATTATTTGCCAAAACCATATACTGGCTGGATGTGGCGTCTGTCTGCTGGTTGGTTGGGATGATACCAGTGAGACTGTCAGTAGGATCAGCACCATGGATAGAGCTTATGAGAACTTTTTAAAGCTACCTTTTGAAAGAGTTGAAGGTTTGACACTCAAATGGGAGAAAAGAAGGTGCAGCGTATCACCGTAAACCCCTCTGTGTTCGCAGTAAGAATTCATGTGTATGTGTTTGTGCCTCTGCAGGTCTCAGCCTGGTGGTTGGACTGGTCTTGTATATTTCCAGTATTAATGACGAGGTGATGAACCGACCCAGAGAGGCCGAGCAGTTCTTCCACTACCGCTACGGCTGGTCTTTCGCCTTTGCTGCCTCCTCCTTCCTGCTGAAAGAGGTAATCGAAGAACAACACTCGCACTAACACACGCACACACACACTCAGATGTAGTCATGCATAAACATTTGTGGGTTTACTGCACGCACACAAACACATGAGTGTGTGGAAATGCACAAACACAGACTGAAAAGCCTGCATACACAACACCTGTAACGCTGAATGTGCACGTGGATAAAGTGCACGCACACACACACACACTGCAGATATATTCAAGTAAACACACAGACACACACTGAGCGGTTCACAGTGCCACTAATATGCACTGATGCTTAACATTTACCAACGCTATGTAACTGGCAAAAGAGATAATATGCACAGACGCACACACATATACATTCCTACATTACCAACAGTGGACTATCATGAAACTACAGCCAAGAGGACCTCTGTTTCTGGTCATTTTGAAAAAAACAAAAATAGAATAGAAAATGTACTTTTAATTTCTTTGAACAGATTATTACTGAAAATGTGCATTTTTTAAATTAATATCATTTTTTAAAGAAATTAACAAACATGCTTTCTTGAGTAATGTTTACCTTTCAAAGACGGGACTTCCATGTCTGAAGTTGAACTGTATGTAACCATTCTTTCACCTAGTGAGTGTTTGTTTACCAGAAAGACCTTGTCTGGTTCTTTCAAAAATGAACAATCTAACAATCTATGTTATGAATCTTTAAATAATTTTATGTGAAACAAGTATTACGGAAATAATCATTGCCACTTTAATTGAGAATAAATAATATAATAAACACAACACACAGACAGATTGTTTGGAATCTGATTTGGATGTCGACTAACCGCCGCTTAGCTAAACACACTCAAGCATGTGTACAACGTAGTCACACAAAGTGCTTGTAGCTTGCTGAATACAGACTTATTCAGCTAAACACACACACACACACACACACACATTTAAAAAGTGCCTGCGTAGGAGCCCGTCATCCTGCCTGCATCAATATTCATAAATGTTAATAGCTTGAATACTTGAGGGCAGCAGCTCCGTCGCAGCACAGCTTTATCTGCATCAGAATATTCCTCGCTGCTGCCACTCCTTCTTCTCTATCCTTCATTCCTCATCCTCCTCTTCTCACTCCGCTCTTTTTCTCCTCTTCTCTCCTTCCTCCTCTCTCTGCCCTCTACTTTTATCTTGTCTCTTTTTTTTCTTTTATGTTCCGTTGTCTAATCCTCTGTTGTCCCTTCCCTTCTCTTTTCTTCTTGTCTTATCTCCTCTCCTCTCCTCTTGCCTTCTGTCCTTTCATCTTATCTCCTCTTTGTCTCTCTTTTTTTTAGTTTCCTGTTCCCTGCTCTCCTCTCCCACTTCATCTTGTAGCATTTCTCCATTTCTCTCTTTTTCTCTCTAATCCTGTTTTCATCTCCTCTTCCCTTTTTCATCTTCTCCAATTTCATCTCCTGTCTACTCGTATTTTACTCTGTTCTCTTTTCACATCTGTATCCATTCTTCTGTTCTTTATTTCCTCTCTAAATTTTTACCTTTTTTGTCCTCTTTTTATTTTGTCCTCTACCTTTGTCTTCACTTCTGTCATCCTCCCTTTCCTAAACCTCTATTATTGTTTACCTTCTCTTATCTCCTGTGTTCCTTCATCCTCTTTGTCCTCCTTTCACTTTGTCCCATCCCTCCTTTCCTGTTCTCACTTTTTATCCTTTCTGTCTTCTCTTGTCTCCTCGTATCTCCTTCCCTTTCTGTGATTCTTCACTCCTCTTTTTCTAATCTGTACTGAAGCTGTGCAACATGGGATTTTTCACAAACACATTCATCAGCATCTAAAGTTTGCGGGCGGTTGTAGTGACGATGTTGTGAATGAATAGTGTATGAGCTGTGAATGCTCGGCGGATGCCCGGGTGAAAACATGAATACGTTTTTGATAATGGCTCATTCCACGGCGGAGCGCCAAACCTTTTTGTCAACTCTCTGCAAAAATCATTATGGATTTATTTAATTTCCTCCCCTCCTGATGGCAGAGTGTTGCAGTTTAGGGAAGCTGATTCAGATGTTTTATAAAAGAGTTTTGCAACAGGGATAGACAGGGGGCCCTCTCTCCCTCCATCTCACTTCCTGTTCTCCAACAGTAACTGTTATTACTTTTTGATGTATTTATTTATCGATCAGATACACTTTATTTGCATGCTTGTCTATACAAACGGCATAACCAGAGTTTTATATAATTTCCAATTAGAAACAAATTAAATCTAGTAGGTAATGGGGTCGATCTATATATTTGATTCGAAAAAATGTGTAATTGTTTTCGACATTTTAGAGAGATAATGTTATGGTCCCTATGGTCCCATACTACCCCTTAATATGGTGTCAATATACAAATATACATGATAACATATAAAACAAAATGAGAGCATTACGGAGATATACATGTTTTGTAATTTGCTTTGGCTCAATTGTTGAATATCAATGATCTCTTTTCAGAACTATAATTTAAAATTCCTCAACAATTAGTATGTTGTTAACAACAGATTAGAATTTCTCGTTGATTCAAGCAAATTGCTCGTGTTTCACGTCTGCAAAAAACTACAATCGTCTCCAATTTGCACAGTAACCACTTGCACACATGGGCTGCTGAGTCTATTCTCTTACTCTTCACAACTTCTTAGCATTCTTTCATTGTTTGAGCCATCACATAGATTGTCAAATTATCTCATGTAGATTCATAAATATCTATGACTTCCTGAGCTACAACTTGTTGTTTTTTACTGAAATAATGCAGGTTTTTCATTATTGTTGATTTACTTTTTTCCGTTTGTCATGGATGTCATTTTGTGGCAACATTTCTGATCACTCTTTATGGCTTTGGAAAGATCAAAGGGGATTTTTTTGTCAACCGTATGTCAAACACATTATAACAATAAATTAACTGTATTCATACAAATATGCGTATATTTTTTTAACCACAGCTAAATTTCTTCCACAGTCTTTAATTTAACATTTCTATCTGCAGTACATCTTTGAGCCACATGAGGGAGCAGGAATGTTCATGTTATTCTGATAAGTGTAACCTTCTTATAACAGTGACTCTAATAAGATGAGTTTTACTAATGAGAGGACAAATTACAAGAGCCTGTTAACTTCTTCGAAATACATTTATTTGGTCTCATTTATGTCTATAACGTGTTTTCAATAACACATTCATGAAACAAAGTTGAGATTTATCAATATGATACCTCTCCAAAGTGGCTAGTTTTCCTTTTCAAGATAATATAAGGTGACGAGGAAATGTCAGTAAAATGGTCAGGAACATTCATTTTTGAAGAAATTCAATAAGGCCTGTTGTGAATTTGCGATGGTTTGTCATTTTTAAAAGGTGGGTCCCTAGAACCACTGCTTGAAATAGAAACCCCACATAACTTGTACATGTGAGAGCCCATACTGTACATGTCCATTGTACCATTGTCTCTTTGTGTAATGTGTCCCAGGGTGCAGGAGTGATGTCCGTCTACCTCTTCATGAAGCGTTATGCTGAGGAGGAGCTGTACAGGCCTCATCCCGCCCTCTACCGCCCCCGCATGTCCGAATGCAGCGACTACAGCGGCCAGTTCCTCCATCCAGACTCCTGGCCTCCACCACAGCGGGGCCGCAGCGCCTCTGACGTCTCCTCCGACATCTCCATCCAGCTCAACCAGACTCCTCCTTCGCAGGCGCAACCGAAGGGGGGCAGCAGCTCCCAGGCAACACCCTCTTCATCTGGGCCTTCCTCAGCGGCCAGCTACCAGCTCCAGCAGGCCTCCTCCTCCTCTACTTCCTCCTCGTACCCACACCCCCTCCACATGGCTGCCACCTCCACCCTACCCCGAGCGTCCCATACCCACGGCCACCCTCAGCCCCACGGCCACCCTCAGCCCCACCCCCACCCGAGCGGGCCCCCGCCCCAGTCCCTGCCCATGGGGGTGCCACCCTCAGCCGTGCTACCTCCACGATATCACTCGCACATGCGAATGAGCGCCTCGCCATGCTAGGCTACATAGGCATGGAAGGGGGAGGGAAAACACAACTGGGGGGATTAGATTGGCTCTGTTACGACTCTTACACACCACAAGACAACAACACACACACATAAACACAAATCCTGTTTCCTCGAAGTGTGTGGGAGGTGGGATGCAGCCGAGTGGATGAAGGAGGGAGGTTTAAGGAGATCAAAAAGAGGAGAGGAGGAACGGAAAAGAGGGGAGTGGGGGAGGAGAAGCAGGTGGGCGGAGGGATGACTCACTGCTGATGCCGAAGACAGACACTTAACAAAACTTTTAACACGCTGGGAGGGAACATGGGAGGGGAGGATTGAGGGATACGATGATTAGTAGCAACAAGACGTTTATGGGGTTTCTGACGGGCACATTCATCATCAAGGCCGTGATACACAGGCAACAGGGTGAAGCAGCACAGGAAACAGGAAGCTGAATCACATCCAAACCCTGTCCATTCACAAAAAGAAGAAAAAAGTGAGACAGTATATCTGGCTGTAAATGTGTTATCCTTTTCATCAAACAAGGACTAAATATACCTGCTTACATCAAACATCAACGTGGTTGGGAAGGTAACTTCATTACGTGTCGATACTTTTGATTACTTTCTAAAAAAAAGTTGAAACCATGAGAGAAACCCATACAAAACACAAAAAATCAATTAAAGTAGACTAGTAGTACTTTTGTTTATGAGAAAGAGTACAGGTGGTGGAATCAGCAAAAACCTGCAGCAAACTAGTGTACAGGTAGCAACCCTGCAACAGGTATTGCCTTAGTGAGGGATTGTTGTTGAGACCGTTTACAGTGATAGGGGTTCAGTTGACCTTACCTAAGTTTGTAGAAGCAACCGAACACCAAAACTGTTTTCAGAATGACAGCAGTGTACTGCTCCAATGATAACAGCCCGCCACGACCAGCATGGTATCCAACAAATAATGTTTATTTTCATCATATCACAAGTAGAGATCTAACCAAAGTCCTTGATGGGACTTTCACCCACGAGATCACTGTTCGTGTCCCGTGAGAAACAAAACTTTAACTTATTTTAACGTTAACTTATTTATGTTACATACATGGCCTCAGTTATGAAACACACACACTTATTCTAAGACAAACCATAATATTTTAGTAAACCTAGTAGTGGTTTTGCCTACACATAACCAATTCATTTTGTATTTGATTCACAGCATTAATCACTTGTTTAAAACTGTGATTGTAATCCTGGGAAAATATGTTTCCTTTTAAATATATATTAGAATGCAGTGTTGTTGTATGGAAACATAGTTTTTAGGAGACAGGGTTGCCATGTCAGTTCAAATTTTGATATATAGAATATGTCCAAATGTATATAATTACGTATTTATTTAATTTTAGTAATGCACGTAATTCATGTACCAAAAACGGTATACATGAAATGCCTATGCGCTGAAGACTTTTATAGAGAAAGATTTTAGCCCTACTCAAAATGATGTAGGAACAAGCTTAGTTAGCAACTTTAATTGTAACGTACAATTGTTGAATTAATTTGGTAAATTAAGAACGTAACACCTTCTTTTACTTCCTGACCATGTCCACCACAAAATACATTTGAAAAGAAACATGCCACTATGATGAAGAATGTCTGTATTATTAATAATCAGTATTGCTTACAACTTTTGCCCGTGTACCATGACCTACAATTACAACTACTATATACACAATCAGAGGTAAATTGTATATGCTTAGAGGTCTACACTTCACTTGTATAGGAACTCTTTCCTCTCGTGCTGAAACATAACAATTTCAAAAACATAATCCTGTGTGCCGATCGTGGGGTGTAAATATCACAGCGTGTTTTAGGTGTTTTAGCGATTGAATTTTCTAAGCTGTTTGTATCTCGAGAGGGAAGCTTTGGGGATGAATGTTCAACATTTTGTGGGATGAAAGAAAAGACTTCACTGAGAGACTCTTTAAAGTGCCCGTGCTTCTGTGGGAGCTTCAGGAGGTTTCTGCAATGTTAGCATCGACCAATCAGGGACCGTCTGTTTCCACGGTGATCACCCCTGGCACAATCAAAATGGCTGCCTTGGAGATGCTGTTGCCATGGAAGTGAGAATTGAATTTCTTAGGTATGTAAATAATATTATAAGAAAGCCAGGTTCAGATTGCACTCCATTTGAATCCATTCAGCTCAGATAATATGCTGAAATCCGACTGACCTGTTGACTACACTGCTCAGCACGTGACTGAGTACAACACACGTGATGGTAGAATGTCAAGAGAACGTTGTATTTTCATGCACATTTGTCATGCAGACATTATCCCTGACCGTTTATTTGTGTTTACTTGAATGACGATGTGCTTCCTGAACTGACAGATTCGAAATGGAATTCCAACTCTTCCTGGTTTTACATAAGAAGATATAAGATTTAGGTAGTGAATAGGTGGGAGTACGACGTGGCACTTTGATGAACACGAGCTTACATGGGAGGCCAACTGAAAACCTGAGTGCACTGTGACAGATGGCTTTGCATTCCAATTTACCTCCTGGTTGAATCTATTATTCATGTCGGGTAGCTCAGCTACCATTAACTGGAGTAGGATTCTACATCTTTTCACAAATATCTTTTGGGTCCAGACAATTCCAGGGGTGACCGATCCTTTGTCTGGTGATGAGAGGAAAGATTAATATGAATGTAAGAAATGTGATTGGAAATACCTGTGAGTGGTGCTGGTGCTGAGAATAGTTTGGTCACTCTTCAGCGTCTGAAGTCTCACATACAAGATTCATACAAGAAAACTGCTTAAATGAATGAAAACAACTCACCTCCAGGCCTGCTGTGTTCTGTTCAGGTCATGGTAACAAGGGTTGGTAGAGTCCTGTTGGGTATCTGGCAACAGTTACCACAAAAGGCCCGCCTCTCAAGTCATCCGATTGGACGATGTGAAAACAAACGCTACTGACGTTGGGCCTTTTGCCACTCGAAGTTGAAGTTTCTTCAATTTGAGGGTTTCAGAGTGGCTCCTGCAGAAACAAGAGGAGCACAGAGCAGGAAAGACCCCAGGCTTCTTAAATGCACTCTGTCTGATCAGGGTCTTACAGTGCAGGAGAAAGATTTAGGCAGGAAGTTGCGGTTGTTAGAACGCATACAAAATGTTTGACTTTGACATCAGAGACTGGAGTTTGTATGACTGGACGCATTCTTTCCCTAAACTAAACTGTAGAATGGTACTGAACAGTTTTAACTCATGGTCCACTCACTCGCTTGTTCTGGAGTTTTTGCCTGAATCACATGGCCCTGATTGAGTTTAGGCTCCATGGAAGTAGAGATTCTGAGCATCTACAGCACCTCTTATTATCAAAACAGTCAGGGGTGTCCACATTCTTTTGCATGTGTATAATAATGATAGGATAATATTATTTCATATCTACGCACAAAAAAATGACAAAATGACGAACAAGATTTTCAGATTGACTCCCATTGAAGTTCTCATGTTGCAGTGACTTAAAAACAAACTTAAAGATTGCTTGTTTTTGTAGCATATTAACGATGGTGCCCATCATAGGGCATTGTTTGTAGCCATGTTTAGACCTCCAGGGGAAAGTGTTATGCTTACAACCCTTTGGTACTGTTGAGAGGACAACAGTGTAGCAAATCAACTGCGGTGTTAGCATCTTTTTATGAATATTTGCTATATGTGGAAACTAAATAGGAAATCATTTAGCAGCTAAGTATGACAGCTCTTGCTTAGTTTTGAGATGTTTATTTTAATTGCCAAAGCTGAGCATTCATGCTGTGTAGTGAGCACACACACACACACACACAACACACACACACACTCACACACACACATACACACCACAGATATATTTATGTAGCTGACTTCTGAGGAGTTGTTTTCAGTTTTGTGATGTAAATAAATCTGAAGCAACAGTATTTCCGAGGACATCACAGCAGAGACGTAGAGCTCTGATGCAGTGAACTGCTTTTTGAAATGTTATCTTCCTTTATCCAATGCAGACATTTCTTCAAACTGTGATTATGGTGTAAATATTACTGAACATACTAAAGTTTACATGGCCATATTTGAGTCCAATGACATTTGACTGACTCAGTACCTGTCCAAAACCGACCATAAAATTCATGTAACTTTCCTTGTTTTTATCATTTCTGCGAACGTGCTATTAGCAGGACTGTGATTTTTATCTGCCAGCAGTGTTTTGTTAAGTTTAAAACCAATAAAGCTTGCCTGGTTCCAGCCTCCTATTTGTTTATCACATTTATTTCATTCAACACACAGAAAAACATTTTGTAAATTATTTAAATATTGCCAATAAAAAATGCCTGTTAGCGTTACAACCTAGCGTCGCAACGTGGCGTCGCAAGGCTGCAGATAAGCTGAGCTCAGAAGAATCATTTTTCCTAACGTACGAGGTTCACCAATTCTTACAGACACACGTCAATCGGACGTGTTTTTTTCACACCTAGATGTTCCTGAGAAAAAAAAGTATAATCGGCTCCCAAAAAAAGATCACAGCTGCTTAAGTGCACCATGGAGATCTAAGAGCAAAGAGAAGAGTCCTCTTATCCAATTTCATTTTGGAGAACCTTATAACCCCTTTGTGATTTTGCGTAAGTGGCACGACACTAATTATAAAGTTCCTTTCGGACTTGACGTTAACATGGGAGTGACAACGATGTCATGCTGTCTGCACCACTGACCTCACAGCTGCACCTTTCATTCCAGCGGCAGGAACAGACTCTTCCGATCAGAGGGGAGAGTTCGGAGCATTTTGTAGAGACAGATCCTTATTTGAGCAGCTGCTCCGTCCCATTTTGGACAAGTTGCTGAGAGTGGTTTGAACACCGAGGCAGCTTAGGCCTAACAGAAACGGCGGTTTATACAATTTTAGTCATCTTAGTGAGCCGGTAAGGGTCAGCTGAGTAGGCAGGGAGCAGGTCACAGGGGTCATTAGTTGAATCTGAGGCCTCATTGCAGAAAGAATATCATACGTTAGTTTCATAGACAGGAAAAATCCTGTCTTCCTATTGCAGAAGCAAATCGTAGACTCATGGCAACATGTCCTATCCTATCTCATACTTACTATCTTATCTTAACTTAAGAATTCCTAACGAGGACATTCGATTTTTCAATCGGCGTCAGTCCTGTCATGTCTGTATCTTTGATTAGTATGGACCTGTAGGCTACTCGAGATGGATGTGTTTTAATATAAATAGCTCTCACTTGACACTTGCCAGCTAACTTGCAATCACGCAGTTATCGTTTCCCCTCAGTCTCTGTGACTGGATCAGCAGATCAATGGAGCAAATGTTTGATTACTGGGTAAAACAGACAAAACAAATAGGACGCAAAATGAGTCATGCTGTTGACGTCAAATTCCTACCGTACCCATGTATGTTATGTAATGTAAAAATAGTAACATCAAACAATGTTTGCCTCATTTTAGGAATGATGAAGACAGTTGGAGAAAAATAAGATAGGATGTAGGCTCTCAAGGATGATTTATTTTCTTGGCAACTGTCGTGTTTCTCTTCAAATGATTTACAGATTTTTAGGTATTCTATTATGTCATATATATAGATTACCTAATACCTATATATATACTGTATATATATATATACTGTATATATATATACTGTATATATATATATACTGTATATATATATATATATATAATCTCCACAGGGGAGGATTTGGGTTGAGCTCAAAATATTTTGTAGACCTCTTTAGAGCCGGATGTAGCACGTCAATCAAATTCTAAATGAATGATGAAATATATCCATTAATACACAGTACGTTAGGCTGCGTTTGAGTAGCCTTTCAACCAGAATATTTCTGTGTTCATGTCGTTCCCCATCTTCATTGTCATTGCGATAGAGACCCAACAATAGTGCTGCTGCCACTTTTGTCATCTATTTTGAATTTAGGGCACGGTCTACTACGCCACCCTAACTGACACCCAAGGAAAGACGGTTCAATAATAATGGCTTAATTCCTATCCTATGATTAGATTTATCCTAAATGCAGTTAAAAAGTCCTGAACTTTATCCTAAAACAGTATTTCATACGTTGAATGTCTGCTCTGTTTCGCCCCCCCCCCCCCTGTTCTTACCTGGGCAGGTGGTAGATTCCACTTAGCTGAGACCGACAGGTTAAAATACCTTCATTGGAGTCGGGGAGGAGCCGAGTGACGTGACAAAGCGTCTTTATTTGACGCCCTGGGAATGAGAACGGGCTGGACAGCCTCCTCAGTCGAGTGTAATCGGCCCGCTGTGTGTGACTGGACTGTCAATGTCACTGGAGGTTCTGGCTGACTGGCTTTTACTGTCACTGCAGAGGGTGACTGCACTTCATTTCTAAATGTTTGTCTTGCTGGCCTGGGCATTGATTTCCTCTCCGTCTGTCTTTATTACTCTGGCTCCCCTCCCGTGTATACCCCAACACACACACACACACACACACACACACACACACACACACATCTTAACTCTCCTCTCCCCCCCGGCTGCCTTCTGGTCCATATTGACTATCCGTCTCAGTTTAGCTCCCTCACTGTTCCTTAGTAAACCTGTAAAGGCTCTCTTCTGCTACCTGTCTGTTCTCCTTGACTCTCACATTATTTTGTTCTTCTTCTCCTGCCTCGGTCCTCTTTACTGGAAGGCAACGCCGAGAGAGAGAGAGAGCACCACTAAAGTATGCATGTGGCATTAAAAAGTTATCTTCAATCCTGAAACGAGTTCTACGAGTTTTGTTTTTGTTGAGACTAATAAATCCAATCCAATATTTAAAATATATATATTATTACATATTGCACATATGAAAAAGTCTTCTATCAGCCACTGTCCTAAACCTGCTCAACACGTCCATTGTTACATTACTTCTTACAAGTGATGGATAGAACGTACCACTGCTTCTACTTTCATCTTTTTAATTCTGCCACCAGCAGTTGGTTTCAGTTGAACATGCTGTTGCCATAGCAACCTCTAATGGCAGAGTTCCATAGCAGTTCAACAACGTCCTGAATCACTCACCAGGGACGGGCAGCAGGGAGGACTTATGACCACTGAAGCTAGCGTTGCAGACAATAGGCTCTATGACGAACAAAAGTCTGTGTTAATTATATGATTTGCTCAGCAGGACAGTCTTCACAAGTTTCTGGATTGTAAATGCAATCGTGAGAAGTGAAAAGCTAACGTTAGTCTACAAACAAACTACGGTGCCAACACACACACACACACACACACACACACACACACAGAAAAAGGCGGAATAGTGTTCTGCGTGATGACGCGTCATGTAGCCAACGTTGTCTCCTTTTTTAAGACAAACGTAAAAACTTCTAAATCCATGAGAGGGATATTTTAACGTATTTTAAGTCGTAGAACAAAACATTAAAATCTTAAGCTTGTGTCAACAACAGACTTTAGTTCAGGCATCTAACTAAAAATCCATTCAAATTCGTCAAACGCAAAGTTTGGTCCGTCTCCATCGGCATCTGATACCGACGCGGCGCAAGAAACTGACGTAAGAGCAAGAACGTGCACACAGAGCGGGTCCAACAGGAGAGCGCGGCTCGAGTCCAATGTGTCACTAAAGGTTAATGCTGACAACTAGTCACGTGAGTCAATTATCAGTCAAGTGGAAAGTGACACAGTCGTACCTGACACAACCAAAACTAAAGGGTTGAGGGTTATAGTTTGAAGCTTATTGCCACTGACCACAGTTGGGAGTGAGAATGTGTTGCTAGTTTCAAGTCTTCTTCAATACAGCATGATGCTCATTTCATAAATGATGGTCCATTTAGAGTCAAACAGACCATAAAGCAGAGTAGGCTTTAGGACGGGGCTTACTGTGATTGACAGGTTGCTATCACGGCGTTATCCGGTCTGGGAGTTGTCCGTGTTTTCATCAGACAACTTTAACCCTTAAAGTTAACAGTTTTTTTTATTTGTCGGAGGACTGTTGTCTGAAGACATTAGAATAATATTTGTCACACCTCAACTAGAAATACTAATGCAGCTGTTCCATCACTCTGCAGCACATCTTCACAGGTACAGAGAAAACTGGAGAATACAGTAACGGACAACATGTGCTGACATTTCAGACATTTATTTCAGAGAAAACTCCAGTATGTCACAAGTTGTTCTGTTGCTGTGATTACATAAACCACACATCCTTCTTCTCCCACCTCCCAGTCACTTCATATCTCCCTCCCTCTCACTCTCCCTCACTTACTCTCCCTCTCTCTCACTCTCCCTGTCTTACTCTCCCTCTCTCTCACTCTCTCTCTCTTACGCACCACGCCGCCACCTGCATCGGCTGCAGAAGTTGCTCTTGCAAAGGTAAGCCTATAACTGATTAAAACATTTTCTTTAAACGTATCACCGATATCCTGCCACTCCATCCATGCATTAACGACATGACAGCGTTTCAGTCGGACCGGTGAACGTAGGCTTAGAGCCAGAGAGGAGCGCACCACATGAACATCATGTACACATTGTACTCTTGACGAAATCATGTGGGAACCACCGCTTTGCGTTTTCTGTTTATTTAAAAAGTATCGCAGAAAAAAATTGAAGACCTGCAATGTAAGGCAGCCTTTAGGGGATAAAGAGTAAATATGTGATCAATTAAAGGATGCAATATCAAAACTATGTTTGTGAAGATGGAGCTATAGGACGATAGATCACTATACGTGAATCACCGCAGACCTTCATGTCCATGACTCTTTAATATACAGTGAGTTACTTCTTATTAAGGAAATCTATAATAATCAAAGTATAACAAATGAGACCATCGCACCATCAACTTGACAGAAGTGTTTGGTTTGTTCTGTCCTTTGTTAGAGAGCCGTCAGTGTTACAGTATGTGTCGGATCATGTGCAGTGTGGGCTCCAGCCTGCATTCTGCATTTAGATTTCTCTCACTGAGTATTGAATATTACAGAAGAGCGCAAACTCATCCTGCTTCCTGTCTATCAGTTTCACTTTGCTCCAGCCGGAGTTGTGCATTCAAAAGAATAAAAAGGAAATGAAAACAGTTTAGCTTATCTCTCCTTCATCATCCGTTTGGCTTTAAAAATCATGTTAACATGCAAATAAAAGGAAGATGTGCCATCTACTCTATTATATGTTAGGGGAACACAAGGCACAACAAAATATGTTTCCATAATATTCCTGCAGGAATCTCTGTGAAACTTAATACTAAAATATTTATATAAAAAATATTTATTAATATAGTTTGGTAATATATATTCTAAAACACACACACACACACACAGTCGGAGACAACAATGTTCCCATAATGTGGGTTTGTAAAGTTTTGTAAATTTCTAAACATTTTTCTAAAAATGGACATTTTGTGCTGTTACATGTAACGGGTGAACAAAGGTACTTTTCCACACACTAGTGGTCTCATTGTCCCTCTGATCTCTCTCTGGTCTTAGTTCATAATTGTGGCTCACCACATATGTTGCTATAATAATCCTCCACTACGTCCATGTTGTGGTGGTGCTCTGTATTCACGGCAGGATTCATACCGTCGCTGAATTCATGATGCAGAGCATGGCTGATTTGTCCTTCAACTTTCATCCTCTGCTTTCTGCATCCGTGCCGCCGCCGGCAAACCCTTTTCTGCATGTGTTTGTTCCATGTTGTGCTGCAGGAACCTTGCTAATAATCCACACAGTCAACCTGAAAATAAGGTTTATTTTAGGGGGCTTGAGCACAAAATAATGTCTGAGGTCCTGTTTTTGTTTTTTGTCTCTGATTGTGGGCCTTCCCAGGGGTCCTCCTGGGCTTTCAAAGCAGCAATCAAATGCTGAGTGCAATACTGAACTGTTCAGCTGCAGTTCTTCTAATCACAACTAGATGGGTTATCCAATAAAACTCAGATGGTACCACTGTATTGAAAAAGTCTTGAACGTTTTTTTTTATTTTTCCACAAGATTCTTTGGAGTCAACAGTTTATTCCATTCTTTTGATTGATTAGTTTGCTATGCAACAAGGCTTTCCTGTAATTAATTAATTGATATATGCATGTCCTATTCGACATAAACTGCTGTAAACTTTAAAATACATAATTCAACAGCAGAGTCTTAAGAGCTCAGAGCAAATTCTGCGATATGTAAATGGTATTAGGTTGGACATCAACATTTAAAAGATCAGTGATCGTGAGTCTGCCTCATTTGAGATTTGGCAGAATCAGCTTTGACAAGGTTGTCAATTGTCTGTGGATGGATGCCTGTATATTGGTCTATAAATACTGTTGTGAGAGGAATGGCTGATGTGGAACGATGCCGTTACCCAAAGGTTTTGCCATAATTTGCTGTTGGGAACGAGGTGGAATTCAAAGCATCCCTCTGATTACGGCAAACATTTTTCTCTTACATAGATGTACTTTGGATGTTGGGGAGCGTGTTTGCTTAATTGACAAGTCTCAGCCTGTGACGCTGTGCTGTTTTGCTCCCTCCAGGCTCGTCCCTGAGCAGGAAATCAAAATTCAATCCTCAGAGCTTCTCTTTAGAAACCTGAGAGTGACATCACAGATGATGCGTCAATGCTTTCTCTCTGTTTGTGGTTCCCAAACAAAGGATATGCTTAAATGCTGCATGAGCAAGCTTCACACTTTCACGAGGACACTTTGACAGTTTAATGGGTTCTGCCAGCCAAAAATCCTGAAAGGCAACATTAAATGTTTGTGTTGTTATTCTCTGGTCGGGGAGGAGGTGTTGAAGAGTTTCAGCCAGCGTTGGTGTGTCCTGTTTTCTCTGGATGGACTCTTCGCTCACTTGCTGCAAATAAAAAAAAGCTTTGATATCTGCGGTAACTTTGATTCATTACTTTCGGTTCACTGAGAACAGTTCCTGTTAGTGACTGCAGGGTCTCCCATCTCACCCTCCTTTCTGTTGCAACTCCCACTTTGTGATTTTGACAAATGAGCTGAGAGACCAACAGCGGTAATGTTTCTCAGTTTTGTTTGACCATATTGTTTAACTTTGAAAAACTGATTCCAGTGCATCCTAAACATTTTTGGTTGAAACTATTAAAATCTAGTCAACTCTTTGCTACAGAAGCGTCAGTGTTAATATTTCATGGGGCAGAGACAGCTGCACTGGCAGAGAATGTAACCAGATGTCACACCTTTCATGCTGTTGATCTTCCACCAACAGCACAGACTAGAGGGTCCTGGTGGTTTGTAGTTACCAACACCCAAAGCGGAGCCCAAGTGGGTTAAGGTCCAAATTCTTAACAGAGCAGGTCCTTGAAGGTATCGGGTTCTATTGGTCTTAGGTCTGTGTGCGTTACAATACCCATACTACCAAACTATTGACTGTGCCAGAAACGTTGTACTGCATCCCGTTTCATTTGCAGCATGCCTCTCTGTCTAATCCGACCCACAATCCTCTGCACAGAGGATATATGAGCAAGCGGGTCAAAGTTCAAGGTGCTAATTATGATGAATTAGCATGTCCTGATTGAATCCATACAGCATGCACCAGTACGCACTTTGTAAGAGCAACTGCAGTACAGTATATACTAAAAGTAAAAATAAAACGTCTGCTCATGGCATGTGAGTTTGCCTGTTATCCGTATTTTGGACTAATCTCATCTGCAGATATCTGTATGCAACGGGTAAGGATGTTGGTATCGGAAGGTTTTGGTTTATGCCTGTAGTCCCGAGTTCTATCAACCAATCACGTTTGAGCAGGCTTTCGTTAAATGCAGGCAAACAATCCATGTGGAGAGCAAAAGAGGGGGAACGTCCAGAAAGCAATCTCAGATCCCATCAGCTATAATCTGAGAATGATTTAGCTTTTAATCGTCTTGAAAGTAGCTTGTAAACTGGCTATTTGAGAAACAATCCGGTTGTAGACATCGTCTCCCAACTCCATTCTCGCATCTGAAGTTGCTAGTCGGACCAGTGCATTGAAGAGGAAGTCTGAGCAAAATTGTTGTCAGGCAGATAGCAGATTGGTTCCGAGATTGATTTCGAACAGGTTCTGATGGTCCTCAAGTCCTTTTAAATCAGGTCGTGGTTTAAACATGTTTTCTACACATCTGTTTTGTGTCAGGTCCAGTACAGACACATTTTGGGGGGAAAAGGTGTAACAAATGGGCAACAAGCTCTCTAAACTAAATGACAAGATATATTGTTTGTGATTGCCGAAGCCACCCGTAGCATTTTGTGAACTATCACCTTCATCAGCAGGACAATTTCACTACATATAGAGGTGAAAAAATATCAGTAAAAACGGCTGAAAGAAGCCAATGTTGATTATCAAAAGGAAATCGGATGCCACCAGCTGCCTCCCAAGTTAAAGTTACACACTTCTTTAACCCATTTGGCCTCCCAAACTTCTTCTTTATAAAGATGTTGTAGCTGTACACAATCATCATGGTAATACAGCCGTTGCTCCAAACAGACAACAGTCATAATTCATAAATCTGCTGGTGTTCCTCTGTCAGTTAAATGTAAACATCAGTCGGATTTAGACATTTGAACAAAGGACTGATGCTGTCGTGTTTCTTTGTAGTCTTCAACGTGAGTTTGTAGTCAGAACCAGATGTGCTGTCGACAGGATCCCCTGCTGTGTTGCTGTTGATGGCTTTCTTGTGGATTTTTGGTGCCCTGCAGTTTCGGCAACAGCTTGCAAAAACAAAAAAAAAACCCGGACCCTGTGTCGGTGCCGACAGGGATTTTCTCTTCAGGAAGCCTCTGCTTGTTGAAATGCATGATGTGAGCAAGCAGCCAGCCGCTCTGCTAAAATGCCCTTGAGCAAGGCATCGAATCCCAAATCGCTCCCGATCTCTCAGCTTTGAGAAATCTGCATTGTGCATTTCAAAGCATGAAACGGCACTAAATGCTTGTGATTGAGCCGTCGCACCAACGGGAAGAAAGTTGGACGGAGGAAAGATGCCGAGACACTGTGACCACAGCGCCAGTGACTCACGAGTCTGTCATCTCTCCTGTGAATGTTCATTCCTCGTGTACTGTATGCAACCGTGTACATCCAGAACATAGACCTGTCTGTCTGTGTGCCTGTGTGTGTGTGTGTGTGTGTGTGTGTGTGTGTGTGTGGGTGTTTGCATCAGTCGTGCATGACATCCAGGCTGCTCTGCACACCAATGGAATTCACACTTTTTTATTTTTATTAATTTTTTTTAATCTCAGCAAAATCCTCTCAGCTGTTACATCCATCGCTCTACTCCCCCAGCGTGCACACACACACACACACACACACACACACACACACTCGTACGCACTCGCCAGCTCCGCCATAGACTTTGGAATTCACTGTTGCCATGGCGATGGAATAGAGCACGCTCTCTCGCATCGCCTGTTCTTTTCTATTGCTTTCTCTCTCTCTGTCTGTCTCTCTCTCTCTCTCTCTCTCTCTCTCTCTCTCTCTCTCTCTCTCTGTCTCTGTCTCTCTGTCTCTCTCTCTCTCTCTCTCTCTCTCTCTGTCTCTGTCTCTCTCTCGCTCTCTCGCTCTCTCTCTCTCTCGCTCTCTCTCTCTCTCTAGAGGCGAACCAGCTTCTCTTGTTTGACAGGGGGGCTCGTTTTTTCCTGCCGGCATCAGGTTTTGGATGTTTGTTTGTTCGTTTATTCATCGTTGTCATGTAGAAAACATGTTTGTGTGGGAGATGCTTCTGGACGGGAGCACCTCCTGGTTTCAAGACTCATGTCACGTTCGTTAATCGAATACATCCTGCCCCCTCCTCTTCTCATCCCTTCCTCTCACTCTTTCCTATCTTTTTCTCATCTTCTACTTGTTTTATGCTTCTCTCCCTCTCTTTTTGTCCTTTCTCTCACATCTGCTCTCCCCCCTCCGCCTCTTTCTGTCTTCTCTCAGTAGCTAAGATGACTGCCATGACAATTATATGAGAGGAGAGGACGCGGAGTGAAGCACCCCCCATCCCCCCCCCCCCCCCCCCCACCCCACCACCCCCCCACCCACTCTCAGAAAGAAGGAGTGCTCAAGGTAAAGAGAGGAGAAGAAGAGGAGGAAGAAGAAAGAAGGGATAAGAAGAGAGGAAGAGGAGCGAGGGACAGTGGGAGAAAGTGAAGGATTAACGGTGGATGGAGGCGGCTCGGACCGGGGCTACGGAGTGCTCTTCATTGACGAAGAAGAAGAAGAACAGCGGCAGCAGCGGGGGGGGAGAAGAGATGGAGGCGAAAGGCAGAAACATGCCCCCAGGTAACACACACACACCTACACACACACACACACACACACACACACAAAGGCAGATGTGCATGTGCATACACAAACAACAAACCACCGGATGCACATGTGGATTCTTGTATGCATATAAACATACATGACACATGTATTTAAATACTCAAGCAACATTCAAACACACAAACCAGCATGAATGCACCCCATCGGGCAGGAAACCACACACACACACACACACACACACACACAGACTGGCGTGCAGATGTGAACAGAGGTCTGGATTCAGAGGGCAAGTGGTTTTGATTTATCGGCGCTGGCATTTGTGTAACCAAGCTAAACATTAGTTTTTATTTCGATTGGAGATTTAAAGGAAAATTCCGGGAACATGTAAAACAATGTGGTTTGATTGAGCAGCTACGGAAATGATCTGTGTGAACCTCCAAATGTCATTCAGTTTTCATTACGTTGTCTTTTCATGCAGTGGGGCTCTGGTCAACAGATTTTTTATTTTTTTTTGCAAATACAAAAAGCCGCCTTGATTGGTTGGAGTTTAACCAATCAGGATCAAGCAGAATCAGAATACTAAGTGTTGTGTCACCTCGTTCATCGTCTACACTGGATGCAATAGGGCAGAAAATATTTAGTAAACATTGACAAAGTTACCTGAACTGTCTTTGTCTGAAACATATTTACACACTTTTTTACTGCAAGTGTGTTTGTAGTAAAAGTTGTGCACTCATGAAGCTGCCCTTTAACTGACTTAGGTTTAATATACTTCAGTTTTTATATTTTATTCAGAATGGGAACAATTCACCATCCATCTGAGGCCATCGATGTTACAATTTATTTTAATGCAAAAAAACAGCTAATGATGAACTAAAATGAAATATGAGTCTCTGTATAATGATTAAGAAGACCTCAGTGTGTATTTACAGGTCTGCTCTTAATCAGAAGCCGTTCTGAATGTCCAGCAGAGTCCAGTGTGAATATCGTAGCCTGTTGCTGCCACGATGCCGCTCAGGTTTCGACTTCACTTTAGCATGAAGCGGAGTAGAAACAGCTTTATTCTGAAAAACATGACACACTTTCATTGAGACGGGTGTCGTATGCTTCACAGACTGGAAACCGCTCTGAAACATACGTGAGATATTCGGCTATAGATTTGACTTGAATTTATTTGACTAACCACAAATTTAAAATCCAACGTTGGTCGCGTTCCGTCTTGATAAAAGTTCTGATTGCACATAAAATAACATTTATTTACTGCACTTTTGTTTAAATACTTATATTGTGTTTTCCAACTTAACGGACTTTTCTAATCTACAGTTAGTGGCATCGCTAAAACTAGTTTCACATTTAGGTTTAGAGTTTTTTTCACTAATCTTTGAAAAAAAATATGAAAAGATACAGATATATATTTCACAAGTACACATACAAAAAAAATTTGACACAGACACCAGTCAGCTGGCCACCAACAGCAAATCACACCATGAATAATTGCATTAAGTGCATTACAGAGAATTAACAAAAGAAAGTCAGCACAACACCTGCAGTCTTTTGGGGACTTTATGCAGCAGTTCAGGGTCAGTTTCAGGGTCAGAGTACCGGCGGTCTCTCTGTTATTTTGGGATTTGTGTTGCCATAGAAACACCCCTCAGGCCAACTGAATGAACCGAACAGTTTAAAGAAGCTCACGCTGGGATTAATGTTCCCCGTGCGAATGATTGTCGACATGAACCTCCCGTTTGTGGAACGCGTGAACAGAAATGTCCGATCCGGTTTTCCAGACTTCCAAATGAGTTTTTATTCTAATGTCTGAAATCATAGCGAGTCACTGAATAGTTGAGTGGAACCTTTGCTTCCCGTCTCCACTCCTCCGATGTTTCATTTATGTTTCCTGAAGCACAACAGATGTGTTGTATCTCAATTTGCCTCTCGTCGTCCCTCACACTGTTCGCCTCTCAGCTTGGATTCATGTCTCTCTTTCCTCTCCTCTCCTCTCCACTCGTCTCCTCTCGTCTCCTCTCGTCTGACCATCCACTCCTCTCATGTCTATTTTACCCTCTTATGTGTACGTTAACCTATATGTCCTGCTTCCTTTTCTTTTTTTGTACCTTTGCAACTGCCCTTTGTTGTCTTTTCCTTAAGCTTATCAGTTTTGTTTCGCCCCCAGACGTCCTATTGATCTTATCAGCAAAGAGTTTTCCTCCAGACCTCTGTTCGTTTTAACAATCATTAAAGTGAGTCATTTTGAAATCCTCATTTTGACAGAAAGGTCAGAAACCTGCTGAGAGAGTTTCTCTGATCCATGAAATAATGGATTTTCTAACTTTATTCAAATTTTCTTGGGGAAACTCATTGACAGGCTCACAGAAGAGGATTTGCTATGTCTCCCAGCAGTCCATCTTCCTCTCTCAAATGTTCCTTTTTGTAACAATATTTGGTGTTTTATATTCTTGTTGATGCATCGGGTCGGCATTTTGTTCCTCTGCTGAGTGCTGCCAACATGTCTTCACTGCTTCAGGCTGTGTACGCTGTTTTTTTGATTAAAAAAACGATCCAGTGTGCTCACCCACAATGCAACGGGAAGACTCAACCCCATCAGCATCTCCCACCACTCACCCACAGTGGCACATGGGGGACAGTAGTTATATTAATGCATAAATATTTGACAGTTCAATGCATGAATTGTGAGCAGGGTGGTTGTATTATCATGCGTACTGGTGTGTACTTCAGACACATGATTTTGGTGTCTGTGTTCTTGTCAGATATTAGTTTCCTTCCTCGCCCAGCGATGGTGTGGTGCGAGCGGGGCATCCAGGTGCTGCTGACCACCATGGGGGCGTTCGCGGCCTTTGCCCTAATGACGGTGGCCATCGGCACAGACTACTGGCTGTACGCCCGCGCCTTCATCTGCAACAGCACGGCCAACTCGTCCCAGGACGACTCCAACAACAAAGACAAGAAAGACCCTGGGGCACTCACCCACTCCGGCCTCTGGAGGATCTGCTGCCTGGAAGGTACAGCTAGTTGAATATGCCTATGCATGTTCACGCATGTGTATGTGTGTGTGGGAGGCTCTGGAAACCTTTTGGATGTGTTGGGGGGTAGAATGTGTGTGTTTTCTTATGTGTTGGTCAATGGAGGTTCTTGTTGAGGTCAATGTGCTCATCAGTGTAATCAGAACGGACATACATAGATGTTCTTTTTACTCAAACACTACACCAGTATGATATATTGTCCTATCTGTTCTTCATCTGGTTTGTTGATCTGCTCTTTAACCTTTTGGATTCGTTGTCAGGTCAGTGATGAGATTTACAGCCCAGTCGCCAGGAAAAACTGTTGGCATCGTATATTTCTGCAGACCACGATTATGTTGAATAGAATTGAATTGATACGTTACGTCACTTGTTACACAACAAATTATAAATAAAGATCAACAACCCATAGCAGACTTTTTTACATAATGTTACGTTACATCTTTAGATGTGAAATCCAAAGTAAACATTGCCTTTTGTTTGATATGTAATATTACATAAATTCCTCTCACGGGGATTGTTGTTTATTGTTATCACTTTTACGTGTGACACCAAAATAAAACGTTGACTTTACGCTTGTTACGTAACTTTCCGCAAGAAATGGTTTCACTCCGTTAACCACGTAGTATTGTGCTTTCTGCAAAGCGTGATACGAAGCTCTTATGAAGCTTCAGTTTGCAGAAACATACGATACCAAAAACATTTCTGGTGACTGGGTTGCAGAACGACAACCCATAATTGGTAGGGCGCCTTCTCAAAGTGTCGCTGCAGCACAAGTTAATGCCGGTTGAACTTCTCCAGCGCTGTGACCATGTAAAGCTATTGTGATCCGCTGTGTTTACTTGTTTCTGCTACATCTTGGCCTGTGGCACAATTCAGAGAAGAGGATTTCAGGATATGAGCTTTGCTTCATGTTTCCCCTGCTGCAAACAAACACTTACATACTTATACTCACACTATGCATTCAACATCAGGCTCATCACAGTGCCCCACAGCTCAGATATGAGTGGTGACTCATCCAGTGACTGATTAAGTAGTTTTCCTGCATTGCTGCAGCTGACAGACAGGTCGGACAGCTCGCACACATAATTCACACATAAACAAGGTCAGGTTTCAAGGCCGAGCTACCTGCTTTAAAGGCTCTTGTTTTTTAGTTAAAGGGGTCACAAGTTGCATTTTAACACCAGTAAATTACCACGTTCATTTTGAGGCATTAGTATAATTATCATAAGCAAGAGAGCAGCAGCCTTTTTCGTTGCATTTTCTCCTGTTTGCAATCAAATCTGAAACAAAAGAATATTTATTGGATTTATAGCTTTAAAAGTTCCATCTAGAATGAGGTAGGTAGAAGTCATTTTTTGCAAACTGTTTCCTATGGAAAGATCTTTCGATGTTCGTGATGTATTGCCTGATGGTGCAGAACATTCACTTTTGTTGTTGCCTGGCAGCTTTTTCAGAAATCATCCGATGTGTTGCATAGATACTCTGCTTTTTCATCCCAATTTCTGTTCACTGGTCCCATTGGGGGATTTCTCTTCCCTTTGTTAAACCAGTTCCTGTCCCAGAGCATCCATAATGTATGTGATATTCTGTCTCCAAAAGATCTGATATTGATTCAGGCTTTTCTTAGCTGACTTGTGTCCCTCTCAATAATACATTAAAGCGGGCGGATGCAGTTTCTGTTATGATTTACAAGACAAAGCAGAAGCAGGCTGCTGTTCTTCCAGGACTGAAGCCTTCAGTGTGTCAGTCTAGCACGTTGTGGGAAGCAGTGAAAAGACAACTAACTGTACATCACCATCCAGAGAAGAGGAGGACGACATAGAGCATTTGTTTAACAGAGTCCTGCTCAATGAGAAATCTCGTTCTGAAATCTGAATGTCGGGTATAAACGGGTCCCACTCTTTACAGCATTCTTTCTCTGTGGGCCTCATAGAGTCACAGCAGCCACAGGAACACCACCAGTCTGGACCTTACAGCAGCTGGTTCACCCTCCTCTTCCTGTTATCCCAAACTCTCCTTGTCGTTCAATTTGTAGAATACTCTGGCTAAAACAAGGACGGGTGCCACATCATCCACATTGTTGAAATCATCTCAATATTCAGCCATGACATTGAAAATCGTTTTGAAAACACTAAGCCACGCCTTCCGTACTCCAACACAACAAACTCTGCCGCGATTCCACCATTGTCAGAACGAGACTTCTCCATGAGTGAGACTTCTTCCATGTTTTCAGCCACTTATAATAACATTCTCAGCTTGTCAGTAGCAAAAACAAGCACTGTTAGTCGAAATTTATTGACATGTCAGCTTGCCCCTTTAAGATGAAATTCCAGCCCGTTTATCGGCCGGCATCTGCAGCGCTCTCGCTCAATACTGGACTAATTTCAGCGTGACGTTTCCTTTTGGTTTGACTCAAATGTCTCGACAACTGTTGGATGGATTGCCATGGGGTTTAGTACATACATCCTCGTGTCCTTCAAGATGGACGGTAGACATTGTACCTCGTTAGAACATCAGCATGTAAACATTGTCATTGTGAGCATGTTAGCATGCAGTCTTAACCTTTACCACCCAATGCATTATACAGCCTCACAGAGCCTCTAACATGGCTGGTAACGATTTATCAACTATGTATGTGATCGGCTCATGGTAACAATGCCGAGGTATCATAATGCTTTGCCATAAATCATCCTTAGACTCTTGGAGCTCAGGTCTTTCTTGCTTTCGTCCTCATTTTTTTTAAAGCAATTTATTTTGCTTTCTCGTCTTCAGTTCGTCTGTCAGTCATGTCTTACATCTGTTATCTTGTTTATTTATCTATCTTCGTCTCCTCCGTCTCTCTCTTTCTATTCCCTTGCCGTCTACCTCTCTTCCTCCATACCTCCCACACTCACTCATCACTCCTTCTTTTCTCCCCTCTCTCACCATTTTACATTTATCTCACCGTAAATGTCGTTTTTTTCCCCCCACGTCTGTCTTCACTTTCTTCCCTATCACTTATTCTCTGGCAGAAATTGTACCCATCAACCTTTTCTCATCCTTGTGATCTCTACCTTCCACCTCTTCCTCACGCTCTCCTCCTCTTCCTCTCTGTCGTTTTTTTTGCAGGCTTGAAGCGAGGTGTGTGTTCCCAGATCAATCATTTCCCAGACGACGCAGACTACGACCAAGATTCTGCAGAGTATCTGCTGCGTGAGTGGCACACACACATTAACAAGTGAACGGCGGATACGCACAGACTTGTGTACTGGCACACACACACACAGACACACACACACACACACACACACACTGCACTACACTCGTTGTGCATGCACACATCTCAACAGAACACAGCACACATACATGCGTGACGGTCTCCATCACACACGTATAGAGAAAGGAGAGAAGGGGATGGTGGGCGGACATCAATGCACGGATATCAGATTCAAGCAAAGCGTTCCTGGAGGTGTGTGTCAGTGTCTTTACAGTGTGTGTGTGTGTGTGTGTGTGTGTGTGTGTGTGTGTGTGTGTGTGTTTAAATGCCCAGGTGCATGGGGTTGGGAGTCTGGGGGTGTACAGAAAGCTTTTTTTTTCACAGCTGAATTGAAAGAACAGCCTTCACTAATGGATTATTTTCAGCTCAGGATTCAGGTTTCACATCCAGCCTCCATATTGTGATGTTCGTACAGCCCCGAACTTTTTGGTTTCCAAAGTATACGTTCCATCCATATATTATATAAAGATATCTATTTCTGTGAAGGAGGCTGTGAGGCTACCCGACCACTTGACTGAACAAGATATCTTCCACCTCTCCAAAGGCTGCGCAATCTTTTACATTTTTTTATTGTTGGAACATTTTTAGTATTTATAGTAAAGGACGACTCTGATAGATGCTCGGATATTTATATTTATATATATATATATAAGTGACTGCCATTGTTGATGGGAAAATTGTTAATATGTTGAAAAAAAAAGCTTTACCTTGATATGTTAACACAATATTTAAATCCGTCATCAAAAACTAAAGCTTCTGCCATTGGTCCATCACCTCACTTTGTACCAAAGTCTACTGAAATATAATATTAACATTCAACTAACAATTATTTACATTGAAGAATTATCCGCCACCTTCTTTATTTATTAATAGATTGTTAAATTCTCATAGCCCAAAAGGCTTGTTTGGTCCAAACAAAAGAACACATATACATGTTTTGTGCAATTATATACATCAAAAGTAGAACATTCTTACAGTTGAGGCGCTAGAACCAGTTTGTCATTTGACTGAAATCATTAACCAGACATCAAAATAGTTCCAGATTATGTTTCTGTCGAGCGATGAACCATTTTAGCTCGACTTCTAACAGAAAATAGCATGAAGAATTCAAACTAGCAGGAGGTAATTATCACAAATTATTCTCCAGAGGGCTACAACACACCAGGGGTTTGTCCCTTAAGCCCCAAAGGTCAGAAATTCACCACAAAACTCCTACAGCTCATGATTCTTTCCTCACAGCTACTTATCTAGATAATCAATAAATTGTGCTGAAGAGACAAACACTAACCACACAACCCGTTTTCCTCCTAAAAACAACCTCACAGAATCATTTGCAACCACAGTTTGACACGTCTGACAGAAGCTTCTCTGAATATATGCTTATCACAGCATTATCGCTTCCCTTCAGAAGCAAACAAAAGCTAACGCAGCTTCAAAAGTCACCTTCAGAACTTGAAGGCTCTGCTTTTTCCACATGTCCCTATTGGAGATCGAGCTATTTAGCATTTCCATCTCGTATAATGTCTCTTAACGTTATCGCAGGGTTTGAGGTGTCTGCAGAGGAATTCACTGTCGCGGGGTTTTAGGGGATGTAATGCGACTTTTTGCAGCCGTACCGACGGCCCTGCGTGGTCCTTGTGATGATCCACAAAGGTACTCAAAGGAACTTTACATGTAAAAACAGAAACAATAAAAGCAAATACAATATAATAGGCAGGCTATCTGTTTAAAATGTGCGAAAGATGTACAAGCCCCAAAAGACGTTATGTTCTAAACATTATTTAGGACAAAAAGTATGACAAACTGTAGATAGCTGCTGCTCCAGAGCCAAGTGGTAGTGTCGGCTATAGCACCTCTTGCTAACACTACATCTCCCAGGAGTGTCACAAGGCTGTTAACGTTGCAGCTTCACATTTTTCAGTAAGTACACGAGATGATGTGTGTTTCTGTCCTCATCTGCAGGTGTGGTGCGAGCCTCCAGCATCTTCCCCATCCTCAGTGCCACACTGCTCCTGCTTGGTGGAGTGTGTGTCGCTTCCAGCAGCTTCTACAAGAGCAAAAGGAACATCGTTCTAGGTGGAGGGATTCTCTTTGTCGCCGCGGGTGAGAATGCAGCTTTGTCGTGGTTTTTGGGCATTGGAATTTTATCAAAGCGGGAACTCATTATGCGCAGTCTGCTTTGGTATTTTAGCTCCGGTTGGACCACCTTTGGTTGCATGTCTTTGTCCTTCCAATCACTCTTATCAAAACTGAAATGAAACAGCCATTTCACATTTCGATGTTTCAAAGCTTTCGGTCTGATACAGGCATAATAAGTCGTTCTTATGGATGATATGCAGATTGATTTTCATAATGCGCCTGCCTCTCATCTGTATAATTGAAAGGAAACAGTTCCAGCATCTCTGCCTGGAAAACAATTTAACGAAGCTGCAGGTTAATGTGTCTCAGAGGAGCACTTACAGTAGAAGTCTTGTATATTTCCTCAGGCCTCAGCAACATCATCGGAGTGATTGTGTACATCTCAGCAGCCCTGAGCGACATCTCCCCCAAGAAAGACGAGGACAAGAAGTGGCACTACTCCTACGGCTGGTCCTTTTACTTTGGCGGCCTGTCCTTCATCCTGGCCGAGATGGTTGGTGTCCTCGCTGTCAACATCTACATCGAGAAGAACAAGGAGCTGCGCTGCCGCTCTCGCACCGACCTCTTCAAGAGCACCACGCACGCCGTGCTGCGACTGCCCAGCTACCGTTTCCGACGACGCTCCCGCTCCAGCTCGCGTTCCACCGACCCGCCGCGCTCGCAGGAGACCTCGCCCATTGGCACGTCCAAGACCTTCAGTCTGCCACCATCTGCTCCACCCTTCTCTGTGGCCACCCTGCCCAACCCGCACCACTCCAGCAGCGGCGGAAGCGGAGGAGGCGGCGACATCTCCATGTACACCCTGACGAGGGATTCCAAGCTGGGCAGCCTCGGAGGCGGCGCCCCACCTCTCTACGGCACAGTGGACCGCGCCACTATGTACCAGCTCCACAACTACTTCCCAAAAGATTCCAGTGGCAGTGGCGGAGGAGGAGGAAGTGGAGGGGTGATAAGCAGCGGCACACTCCCATCTCACTCCAAGTCCAATTTGGCGGCAGCAACGGCTGTAGCCCAGAATGCAGCACCGCTGAATACCTCCACATCAGCCGCCCCACCGGCCCAGCCGGCTCCGATATCTACAGCCACCATGGAGAGGGACCGGGGGAACATGGGAACCCTGGACCGACTGACGGCCAAAAGGGACCGGGATAGCAACTCAGATACTCTCAACAGGAAAACTACACCAGTTTAAAACAAAGCTTCAGAGAGGAGGGAGAGAGTGTTGAAATAAAAGAGACGTTAGAGATATCACAGTTGAAAGAGAGGAAGAGTAGGGCTGAAAATGCGTGGGTGACACTTCAACGGTCATGTTTCTGTCCTTGAGCCTGGGGTATCTAGCTGCCATAATTACTTACCAATATCATTAACAGTCATAGAACACCTGACATTATGTGCAAATTCATGACGACTGCCTTAAAATGGTCATGACTTTAGCTTCAAAACCTTGTTTGCAAGTCAATTGCACAGCAATGGTGCAGTGGAGGCTTCGGCACAAAGGAATTGTTTTGGTGCACATGGACAACTGGGAGCTTTCCACTAAAACCAGTCTCCCAGTGAAGCATTTGGGGGTTAAGTGCCTTGCTGAAGGAGAGGCTGGGGAGCTCAGTAGTTATTTATTATACCCTTCTTCATTTTATCAACTGCGAGAAGGAACTCCCAAGCTTTGATTTTGTAATTTATAAGTCTAAAGACATCACCGTTCAAACTGAATCTGGTTTTAAAAGTAAACTTCTTTTAAACACATCCAGACGTCCAGTTTGAAAACCACCAAATCAATGCTTCCTGGTATTCTAAAACACTTTAAAGCATCATGAATAATAAAATAGTTTCCAGATGGTATAAGCCACAACTCTGTTACATTACCGTGTTCAAAAAGAACAGAGAGCCACAGACGGGTACATTCAGCCAAGTAACAAGCTGCTCAGTAATCAGTTGACTGCCAATTTAAGGGCAAGGTCAACAGTAGCTACTTAATCTCAGCCATATCTAACCTACTGACACACACACGCCAGAGCCTATTTATTTTTCATTGTGTGTCAAAGGTAATTACAGTGACAGATGGCCATTCTCCACACTCCTAGAGAGAGGCACAGCCATAGACTTAAAGCTTCACCCTGTACGCCTCCGTTACACCACTGCCAGTTGTCACAGTTTGGTGAAACACTGCAACAAATGTCCATCTGAACAAGTAACTTCATCTGACGATAAAGTCCTCAAGAAATATTAGCTGAATTCTGGCCAAATGGAAGTAGACTACTCTTCTTGTGCCTCGACAAAAGGAATGTCTGGTCTCGAGCAACATTAAGAGGTTGTTAACACAGGTATGGTGGCCTGCAATGGACACAAATATAACAGCAGCTACCTGCAAAGTTAATAAATCGTATTGCAAGATTACTCGTAAATTCCACCAATCGTAATTTTGTAAACGGCTGCAAAAAAAAAATGGTTTAAAACCCAGAAATCAGAAGCTGATCAAGTAATTATTTGACCACTGGTATTGATCATCACTGTGTCATCAGACAGTAGAGATGTTGCTAAATGCACCTTCAAAGGTCAATGGAAGTACTTGTAAAGATGGACTTTTACGCATACTATGTGACGTTTAATTGGCTAAATTGATTCCAGGGTTTGTATGACTGTTTATGAAGGTAATTTTATACCAAAGGCTACAAGGCAGCATCCGTTGAGTGTTCCTGCAAAGGGCTGCAACCACAGGCAACAGGGTGGGGGTCAATTCAGTTTACAATTGGGGGGGGGGGGGGGGGGGGGGGG